AACGTTTCGCCAGCACCTGTGACCGGCATCTTCAGAGGGCAGGAGCAGAGACAGGAGCAGTTCTCTCTGTGCCCAGGGTGATGTGACCCCGTTGTGGGTATTTATAGAGATCATCGAGGGTGCTCCTGCCCTCTGAAGATGCCGGTCACAGGTGCTGGCAAAACGTTAGGAAACAAAACTTCCAGAACACGGCCATGCAGCCCGGAAGACCCACACCAGCCATTCTTTTTCTCTTTAAATTAATTATCCCAAGTTCAGAGCATTGCCCAGAAGGATAGAACAGGGGCAGTGCAATCATTCCCACTTTTGCAACATCGGAAAAGGGAAATCTAAACCAGCACAGAAAGGTTCTTTAAGAAATTCAGAGCAGATATTCCACAGTATGTATTGAGAGTGGCCCTTCTGCAAAGAGCCCATGGCTAATTCATTTCCAGGCACCCTGCAGCCCCCCAACAAACCACTCCATCCTGCAAAATTCCTTGCAACAATGCAAGCATTTCAACAATATTTCACATTCATTCCAGGTTTGTGGAGGTTGTGTTGGCTGCTAAAGCTTATGTAACATCAAGACGTATTATTCAGCAGCTGCCAAAATGCATAAGCTGGAGTGATGCTGTCGAACTTTCAAGAGAAGCTAGATAAAGATAAATAATTTGCAGGAGAAATTCTTCCAATGTCAAAGCGGAGTAGCCAGAATTAGGAATTGTGGAAGTTGTATTTTATGGTGTACGGCTTCTCATCCATCAGTACGGTCTATGCCTGGGTTGGACAACCTTTGATATCGGAGATAGCAAATTTGCAGTGAGTGGGGACATACTACAAAGTGGGTTGGGCCACATCAAACTCAAGGACTAAGACTGGATTTTCTGCATTTTCCCCAAGATTTTTGGAGATATTTTTAATTTTTGTGTGTGTGTAGGCTTTTAAAATGGTGTTCAATCCTATTTTAAGACTTAGGCTCCAGTCGCTGCATGTTTCCTGCCTCAAAATGTTAGGGAATTATTCCACAAACTTTAGAATGGTTTCTAGATCTACAAGAAGAGATGGACGGATGGATTGTAGGCCGATCTGAGGTTCCAAGTTGCCCTTTGACAGCAATAGCTCTTCAGCCTTTCAGATGGAGATTTTTCCTTATCCTTCCTACAGAGCTGGGAACTGAAGGTGGGACCTTCAGCATAGAATCAGCTGTTCTCTGTCACTGAGTGCTCTGAGAATCCTTAGAGGTAGCAGAGAAGGCGTTTACATAATCTCCATACAAATCTGGCTGCTGTTTACTTCTATGGGAACATGCAACACCCAATAGAAGCTGAAGATGTTCTCCTAATCATGGTTGGGGATACAGGCTGACAGGGTAACTTCCTTTGGGCCCTCTCTGTATTCTCCTGTCATATGGACTGGAGAACAGAAGAGACAGAAAGGATCTGAAAGATTTTCTGCAGAAGAAATGGCCATCTTATCTCTCTTCTGAATTTCAGAACCTGGGGAGCAGACAATTCTATTTCAAGAAGTTTATTATGAAGGTGAGAATTATACACTCATCTTCTTGAAACTGTAAATGAGGGTTTGCATTTGAGGGGAAGATTGAAATAGTTTCATAATTTGTGCACCACCACACTCAAGAGGCCATTCCCCCCCAATTCATACACGTCATATTTACTGGAGTGTACCGATGCTTCATTGCACACTGTAACACTGGGGAAGGGGAAGGGAGACAAACGGAACTGAAGATCAAGATTTATGGAAACAAAATGGCCACTAGGATTAATTGCTACCACCACCACCACTTAAGGTGGGAGCATTTAGTTCTCATTATTCTGAAATGACAGTAGCAATATGGCTTTATGCCAGGCAAAACTGGACGGGAAAAGAACCTTTCCTGATCAGACAATAAAAACCCCATCCAAAAGAAATGAATGATGAATTCATTCATATATCCACGGAGATAACATTTGGGCAAGTTTTGCAGAAAACATAAATACCTCTGCCGGTTTATCTAGCATCTGAGTGTTTCTCTTCTGCAGGTTCAACAGCAAACACAAACACAGCGATTAAGTCAACTGCAAATAACCCTGGCTTCCAAAAAGCTATGCATATGGACTAGCAGCGTGCAAACCAACCAGACAGACTCTTTCATTTCTAACAATATACCCACTATAGGTGGTCTCTTCTTCCTTGGTTCCATCGATGGTTCCATCTGCTTGCAACTGCAAATGATATCCTTGCCGGCTGTAAAGTTTGGTTACAATGCCTTTCAGCTGTGGTTCTGTAGGAAAACAAACAAGCAGAAAAGTTTAGCATTCTGAATGCGATGCTGTATTCGTGTCGGGTTCAAGCAGGCAAAACGCTTTGTCTTGTTTTTCAAGAGGAAAGAGAGAGGATTAGAAACTTTCCTACGATTTGAGATACTGAGGGAGGAAGATTAAATCAGCACCTCGGACAGCAACTGATCCGCAGGGTATGAAGCAATGCGGAAGACATTAAATCCTGAACAACTTGGCCAGAGGATCAAAATTCCAACAACGTGTTACATGGCTGAAGGAGCAAGATTGGATTTCTATTAAGATTAGAAAAGCATCAGCTAGAAGGAAACTTAATTTTTTAATGAGCTGAGATTCATTAAGAGAGGAACAGGGAAACGCTTGCTAAAATGGTTGCTAGATGATTGCATGTGGCGTGTCCGCCTATGAACATGTGACAGCATAACCAGGTGCTTGTTTGAGGCTTAGAACACTGTATGAATCTAACCATCCTGGTTAATAAACCTTTATTTATGGAGCAGCACAGGCTGTGAACCCAGGCAATTGTGGCCCAAGCAACACAATCTTAAGGGCCACCATGATGTTAGTGTTCTGCACGAATATGACCTCTGAACCTGAAAAAGAGATTAACACATGCCTGAAATCTGACAAAGGTTGATGGTACCAGTCCAAGGTTGGTCATGTCCAAAAACTCGAGGGTAGTGACCTTAAAGAATAAAAAACTTAGGATTGCCCACAAAATTGCTCCCCATTGTGGGGAGATGGGTGGGGACAAATTAAATAAATAAATTAAAAAAAATGTGATTGTTACTACTGGTCAGGAAACATGCAATTTTTTTTTTTTCTGGCTGTTGACCACATTCATCCCAGAGTCCCAACATTTGCAAGAAACCTTCCCCAAGCTGGGGACATTCACCCATACTCCCATATTTGACATCCTGCATGGTCCTCCTAACATGGAAACCAATTAATGGCAGCCTTTTGACGCAATCAGCTGCACTTAGCACACCGTAGGTGTTAATCCCGCTGGAGCCAAACATCTGAAGTTAAGACAGGGGTCCTCATTGGAACCAAATAGATAGGAATACCCCTAGGACCTTGAAGGACTGAACGGGAACTTAGACCCTCCCTTGTATATAACATCAAAGAAAATCTCCTTCCAGAAAATACCACCAAGATTTGCCTCCTAGTTAGCTTGATATGAGGATCTGTCTTAGATAAAAAATCCGGCCCAGTTTAGCACTAACCAGTGCTTTTTACTTCCAGTAAAAAGAAATAGCAGGTTCTATTCTCAAACCACACACAATAACCTTTTCCATGTCACCTAAGCAAGATCTGAATATACACATCCTGCTGTCCTTAAACAATCCTGCTGTGTTAATAGTAATGCTGCATGGTGACCAAGTGGTCCTGTTAATCTGATTTCCACCCCACAATACAACTTAGTTTAGGTGTACATTTAAGGAAGGGAGAAGGGTTAAAGCACAAATATCTATAATAGAGTCCCAGTTACAAGGGGCTTCTGGAAAGCATAGGAGACCTCCCCGCCGAGACTCCCAAAAGCTGTTTCACATGAGCAAATAATAAAATACATGCCAGGAGCGTAACTATATTAAATCTATGTCATTGTAATCCACTTAAAATGACAACTAATCCAGTTCTTCACCTGGGGTCAGGTCCTACCTCTCCAAGCATGGCGGTTCAGTAGGAAAAAGTGGTGTATCCCTTAGTAGGTGGCAAACAGGGTTTTGAAAACACTTGCATTACGTAGCTGTTCTCCTTAGAGGGCTGCTAAGTAGCAGCTTCTGGGTGAGCGTTCCCTGGACAGCAAATTTCGTTGCTGCGTAACAGTTGAAATAGCCTGTAGTTGCCATCAAATCTAGAACTCACTCTTCTGTGCATCCAGGCTGATGGGGGTCAAAGCTAAAGGAAGCGCACATTCCTGTTTCCTTGTACCGTTTCTCTTTTCAAACCCCTTCCCAAGTCTGTTTATTTTTTTTTTAAGCATCTGTCGACAATGGCTTTGTTGGCAGACCGCTCATGGACAGGTGAGAGGTGTGTGTGTAAATCTGTGTATGACTGAATCCAGCACAGGGTTTGGTGGATTTTTGGCAAATCTGGAATTGCAAATCCTTTAATAGGCAAAGCAAAACCAAGCCAACATTTCTCAGAAGACATTTCTTTCCTCCTATGGGAATTTCAGAAATGTTTATTTTGGATTGCCCCTTCTTTAGAAAAAGAAGGCTAATTTACAGGTAAATGCTTTCACACACAAACCTGGTCCCCCTGTTTCTCTAGCTTTTATATTTTAATCATGCAGTAGGGCTGGGCAAGGGACAGAAAGGTTTTGCTATTGTTAAAAACACAGAATGTCAAAATCCTGGCTGATCCTCTGCAAAATTCTAGGGATCTCCGGTAAATCACATTATTACCACCCCAAATATAAAAGCAAGGCTTTTTTCCCCTTTTCGTTTTAGAAGCTTCTCCTCCCCTCAAAAGAATTACTTTGTGAGCAGCAGAAGACGGAAGGAGGTGGCTGAGAATCAGAAAGAACACTATATATTTCTTTTGTTTTTATTTTAATCCCACTAACTGAGGGGGTTGAAGTTCCCCAGGTTATACTTGTCTGCTTGTCTTTAAATCCTGCATATTTGAAATGCGATGCAAAATACGGAGCTTTTCTCTGGATTCTGAATAGGAAAGAGGGTGAAACTTGTGTAGAGCTGTTCAAACAGGACGCTTGTGAATGTTGCTCTAAGTATGACATTTGTGGAAATGGATATATGGAAGTTTAATGCCAGCACCACCATTGACACCCAGTACGAGGCACAATTACATCATCTGTGTTGTGAAATCATCACACAAATGACACAGTGAAACATGTGATGTCATTCCCCTTCTGTGGACCATCAGTCTTAGGGTAACTTTGGGGCTCCTACTTGAGATATAACACTAACGCTGACCTCCTGGTTGTTTGTTCCGGGTGTGCTGCACACAAAGGTTCACTGTTCCTGCACATGGGTTCCATGAATCATCTCATCCACTGACTGGACTCATTTCTCATGTCTGAGTCTTCTCCAAAGCCCTCAACATGACCAGCTGCCCCCATTTCTTACAATGGCCCCATGACACAAACCAACCATGGGGCTTCCTGTGGCTTCTGCAAGAGATCTCACCAAGGGTGGCACATAGATCTCTTTTAGACATCCTCCACTGGTATGGCTATGGGACTGTCACCTCCTCAATGCATCTGATGCTGCAACTGTAACTTACAAAGATGCCCCAGCTTGATTTTGGGGAAGGGGGGCCACTGAGAAAGGAGACCCAGGAATGACCTGTTTCCAATCTTTTGCACTTCCAGACCCAAAGAAGAATGGGAGTAGTCTCATCGTCTCCCCAGCCCAGATAAATTGGATGACAGCTCCCATAACCAGCTGAGTGGTCCAGACAAACAAATGGTCCAGCTTCCCTCACAATTTGGGTCACTTTCGGGGGAGAGAAGAAATGGAGACACCAAGTAACTGCCATTCACTCAGAGTCCAGGAAAAGCCCCATGTAGCCCAGGATGCTGCACCTGAAGGAGAACTCTGCTAAGTCGCCTGTGATTCACACCCTAAAACGCACTGCTTCTGCAACACGCAGGCATCTTGGCTGGCTCCAACCTTCTTCAACCTCTGGCTTCTCCGCCAGAGAGGTCATCTGGAGATGTCCCTGAAGGTTTCCGCCTCGTCTCTTGCTCCTGTAGCTCACCACGGACCTCATCCTTGCCTCCCTCACCACCGAAAGCAAGAGGTCACCTGGCCGCAGAGCCTTGGACCCAAGGGACTGCTGGCCCAGCTTTCTCCAGCAGCCAGGTTCCTAAGACCCCGGGGAGCTGCTTTCCCTCGAGCTACTCTTGTGGCTTTCTTGGCACGACCCCTCCCCCCTCCGGCTGAATGCACCCCGCTCAAACTCGTCCCAATGCATGGAGACTGCAGCACTTCCCGCCATAGCCGCCTTGGCCAAAGCCTGGGGCAAGGGATGGCCCACCGTCCCTGGGTGGCGCCAGCCTCGCCGGCAGCAGGACCGGGGCCGCCTGGCAGCCAGCAGCTCTCCGCCGCCGCCGCCGCCGCTCGCCCCCGGGCTGGGACGGGCGCAGCCTCACCTGGTTTCCTCCGCCGCCTCTTCTTGGAGCCGAAGAGCTTGACCCGCGAGAAGACGCTGAGCTTCTTCTTGTCGGCGCAGCTGGTCTTGGACTTGCTGGGGCTGTTGACACATTTGCAGGCGTTGGACTTCTCCCGCTCCCTCGCTTGCCTCTTCTGGCGGATCAGGGAGCTGGCGATGGCTGCCGCCATAGCCGCCACCCTGGAGGGTCACTCGGCGGGGCTGCGCGGGCTGCCTGCGGGGGAGGCCCCCAGCATGCTGCTCTCGCCGCCCCTCGGGATCAAGAAGAGGGGGCGGCGGGACGGCGGGCTAGGCCGTCTCCCCGCTCCCGGTGCCCGCCGAGGACGGTGGCGGCGGGCGGGCGCCCTTGGGCGGCGGGCGGGGGGACGGGTCCCTCTCCCCTAAGGCGGCGGCGCCGCCGCGCCCCGGCCGCTGCGACGCGGGCGCGAGGGAGACGCTCCCGCAACTCGCCCCGGCACGCCAAGTTCCGCTGCCTTCAACGCCGACGGGGCGGGACAGCCAACAGGTCCCCGGACGGCTCCGAAGG